GAGAGAGAGAGAGAGAGAGAGAGAGAGAGAGAGAGAGAGAGAGAGAGAGAGAGAGAGAGAGAGAGAGAGAGAGAGAGAGAGAGAGAGAGGAGTTCCAATAGAACAATAAATCCATGAAGGAACCGCTTATGAAGAAGAGTGCAAGCACATGGAGGGAGAAGGAATATAACCAGGCTGCATACCACACATACCCCAACTGACAAACCACAATTCCACTACCCCTACAAAGCTACAAGTGGAGGCAACCTGCCCATGTCTGTACATTTGTTTACAGGGTATCGAGTCTACACATGAAGCTGCAAAACACTAAGGGAGATATCTCCGGTATTACATTTACCTTCCTGGGACCATTCACTTTTCTGATAATAACTAGTCAGAGTCTCGAAGAGAGAGCTCCTTTAGTGGAAAGGATAAGCATATGCAATTGTTATGTGACTGATTGAAACGAGATGCCACATGGCATACACAATTTCCCATACACATGCGCAATGACAAGAGATCTTGGAGAGAGTAATCCACACCACACCAGATGAGAGAATACGCGGTGGAAGCACTTACAATCCAAAGAAATAGAATTGAATTTAGTCAATTATAATTAATACTGTCTCTCAAACTCTCTCTTTCCAATTCAATCAGCATGCACGAAGTTCCAAGGATCCCAACCACGTTGTCAATACCCCAGAACCAACTATTTACAGAGTTTCATCCAAGATGGGAGAGTTTTTCTTCCTCCCTCAAAGCCAAGCTCTGGCTATGGCGCCGGGCAGCACCCAACCTATCAGCACCCCAAGCACTGGAACACCCTGAGCCCAAGCGCCTGCCAGTGTCTACTCAAACAACCCCAACTGCCGGTCAGAACCGCCTACCAGCTCCCAAAAGGAAGAAGATGAAACCTCTCAGTGGAGATGAAGATGGCTGCCACTTCGGAGAGCACTTTCATGAGGAGCTTCAACAGCCGCTCTGTCAACCCCCGACAGCACATAAAGGAGGAGGCACACTCGGCGCTCAGGGCCTGATGCCCAGCGCTGCTACCACTGAATGCTGGCTGTCCCAGCTATGGCCGCCAGCCATCACCAAGAGGAAGGTGACCGGCGCTAGCAAAATAGCGCTGCACTCCCCACGCAACCTCCAGCAGCACTTCGTGGGGGGGAAAAATGAAGACAGAACCCGTTTTCACTTGCCCTCAACCCGACTTACCTACAGAACCAACAGCCTACAGCCTAGGACCGTATCTACACTTAAAACTGGAAAAAGGGAAGACAACAACGGGCCTCACAACTGAGACGCAGAAAAAGACAAAACAGAAAGGCCTAGTGGTCTAAGGAGTCACAGGTTTACAGCCCGCGTAATACCCTGCAATTCATTGCACAATAATGCTGATGAAGCTACCAGTAGTTGGAGTTCAGTGTTTAGGGTTTAGGGTTTAGGGTCGGAGGCTCAGGGTTTAAAGCTTAGGGTTTAGGGTGTAGGGTATAGGGTTTAAGGTTCAGGGTGTCAAGATTAGGGTTTAGGGTTTCCACTTTCAAGTTCAGGGTCTAAGTTTTATGTTCTATGGTTGAAGGCGAAGAGTGGAGGGTGGAGGCTTGAGGGTTGAGGGTTGACGGTCTAGGGTTTAGTGTTTGGGACTGTGAACGGATTGGTGGCAGAACTGCAAATCTAAATGTTTGAGCTCGAGGAGGAGGAGGACAAGAAAAGAGAGTGAATAGTAGGAAGAAGCAGGGGGGGAGGAAACGAGGAAGATGCAGCAGTAGGAGGAGGAGGACAAGGAGAAGAAGACGTGTACGATAAAGAGCGGGAAGACCAAGAGAGGATGGCAGGGGGAGGAAGATGGAGGGGGAGGAGGAGAAGGAGAAGGGATGGGAGGAGGAGGAAGAGAGGTGAAGAGGATGAACACAGATATGAGCAAAGGGCATGCCTACATGAGATTCTCTTCCAGGAGGGCAACCAATTGACATTCCAAAGTCATCATTACCCGAAAGGCTCGGCATAAGAACCGTGTTGTGGCCTCCACCAGTGCACCTTGTGACGGATCATTCAGCAATTCTTCAAGAGCTTCCCGGTGCTCAATGAGTCCATTGGTGATATCCTGACAACATACAAATTTACCATTTTCCAAATCAAACCCCAAAAAATAAAAAGCAATATCCCAATGCCTGTCTGGTGGATCATGTGCCTCATAGGTCTCTCGCTATTTTTCGTTTTCCTACCTTCTTCACCCAAACACAATACACGGTCATTATAGCTGTATTTGGGGTCTAAATACAGCAATAATGACCGTACAACTAGGAAGATTTTCATGACCGGCCGGTCTGGACCGGCCGGTCACCCGGGCGTGATGCCCGGGTGACCCAGTCATGGCAAAAAAAAAATTAAGGAGTCCAAATCTGGGCTCTTTTCTTTTTTTGAGTGTTGGCTGTCAAGGGGGCGAAAGGGGAGTGTAAATGAATTTTAAAGGGGCTAAAGGGGTTTAAACTCTAAAGGGGGGTCCCTTAGTGTGATATGGTTATTTTCTTTTTTATCTTTAGTTCTGTGATGAATTCTGATGTGACCCTCAGCCAAAAGTTGTTTGTATTGCAATTCTGCACAACATAATTTGTTTTTCAGATTTTTTGGGATTTGATTTTTTTTATTTGATTTTTTTTTTTGCGCTAGGGCTGCCCGGGGCCATGCCCAGGGGTCATGCCCCGCCGGTCACCCGGTTGTCAATCCAGGCGTGACATCGAGACCTGGGCGCCCGGGATATCTCCCTAGCCGTACAATGCTTACATTGTATTCGTGAGAAGAAGGTAGTTGGTCCAGTCAATCTGACAGGTCAAGGTCTTATCCAAGCAGCAAAACATTCTGCAGCACAAGTAGTATGTGTTGCAAGTGTTGTATGTGAGTATGTGTCCATACCTCTGGTTTCATCTGAATTCGAACTTGGGTTTGTATTTCAACAGTGCATGCATGTACAACTGAGCTAGGCCCAGACCCAAGTTCACATCCATCAGCAGCACAAGTATAGGAGGGCAGGAGTTGAAACCACTGACCTTCCAAAACATTCCTGTTAAGGCTCATTTTGGACTACTTCTGCAGCCCAAGTATGGTGTCCTAATTTGGCACGAACTTGGCAAAAATGATGACCCGGTTCATGCTAATAGTCCCCTCCATACAGCAAGGGAAGCATTGCCAGCGGGTAGCCAAGCATGAGAGCCGGGAAAGGGAGCGTGCATGTAGGAGAGGGAAGACAGGGAAAGGTTACAGTGAAGCGACAAGCCTTCCTTTACTGCAATGCAAACGCTGAGAAAACCATCTCAGGAATTACCTACTGCTGCAGTCGAGGAGGACTCAGGTCCAGCTCAGCTTTTTTTTTTTTTTTTTTTTCCTTTTTTTGGTCTCGATTTATGCGTGTCATCCTTGCACAGGGGCCATGCTAATCTTCTCTGTACCGTTCCAATTTAACAGTTCATGGGTGTACGATCTGAGCTAGGCCCAGACCCAAGCTCCTCTTTTGGACCATTTCTCGTGGGCCAGAGAGAGTAAGCAGCATGCATGCAGACTCGTTCAGGACAGAGAGAGGAGTAGGACTGTTTCGGCGGATTCCTACTGCCACGGTATCCCCTACTCACACCCTACGCATACTATTATACATCTGATACATTGATTCACACATTATTGTAAAATTACTACTTTAGACCATAAAAGATAAAAGAAGGGGCCCCGGATATGTAAGAGACCCTCTCCGGTACGCTCCTTGGCTGACGTGTCCCAGTAAAATTGGACTGCAAAAAGAAAAGTAGACCATAAATAGGATTTTTTTTACGAAAACATGTACTGGCGTGTAATACAGGAACAATGTCACACCACACCTACGATTGCTAAACGAATGAGTGAACCTCTCAGAGCCTTCTCGGCCCTTCTCATAAGTAAATAATCAAAATAAATAAATTCATACATTAAAAAAAAGACATGCATCACCCCCTCCCCAGACTTTTCCACACCCAAAGCACCGAATCACTGGAGCAGAAAACAAAGCAAAACAAAACAAAAACACGCAGCGCCTTCAGTACCTCAATTAAAACAGTGAGTTCTGGCACTTAGCACCAGTTGGGAGTCATCAGTACAGAAGAGAAAAAAAAAAAAAAAAAAGGAATAAGGAGCACTTACCAAGCCGACAACGCTCTGGAGCTCCTCGGCCGCGTCCAACAACGGCTTCGTCACATGTGACATCCATCTGCAGCGATGACATTAGTACACCATCCACTCTGCAGCCAGTTTTTCCCCATCACTTCTTTCCTCCCCCCTCTCCCCTGCCCCCCGCCCCACTAAAAATCAAATCACCCCATTAATATTAAAACTAAGGCTATACATCCCAGAATAGAAAGGAGCCAGAAGGCCCTGTTTCAAGAAAAGAAAAAAAAGAAAAGATAAGGCGTATGCTATATACACTGATATACGGTAAGTATCCCTCTCTGCAGCCGTTTTTTTTTCCTTTTGTATTTTTTTCTCCCCTGTTTTTTTTTTTTCCAAACAAAGGCCACGGCCTTGAGATATCATAATTGAACTGACCGGCCCCAAGTAATTCAGAATTCTTCTATCCTCTTAGGGCTGGACCCCACTGGAAAAAACTTGGAAAAGTGCATTATTTTTGAAATCGTGGAAATGCACTTGGAAGATTCCGCAGATGAAACGACGGGACCCCACCAAAGAGGCTGGAAAAGGCCTGGAAAAGCGATTTCTTCCAGATTTTTCCAAGCTCGTGCCGTCATTGTGGACCAGCGAAGTCCGTTGGGGTGGTATGGGCACCCACGATGTCCGACTCGGGAGGTGTGGGTGGCGGCGTGTGGCCGCTGGAATGTAAGGTGCCACCTACCGGACACTCCATGGATCCGGGTCGTGCAAGGAAGTTTTCCAGACTTTTCCAGCCTGCCCCCCCTACCCAGTCCATTTGCCACAAAATCGTGCTGTCAACTACGGAAAATGACACATTTCGGACCGAAACCACATGTGGGTTTGTCAAAGTGCCATCTTCCAGGAACACTTTTCCAGACTGTGGGGTCCCGGGAAGCACAAAACGCAGCAAAAAAAACACTTTCCAGGAACCCGATTTCTTCCAGTGGGGTCCGGGAAAAGCACTCGCGGAACCCGATTTCTTCCAGTGGGGTCTGGGAAAAGCATCGCGGAACCCGATTTCTTCCAGTGGGGTCCAGGAAAAGCACTCGCGGAACCCGATTTCTTCCAGTGGAGTCCGGGAAAAGCACTCGCGGAACCCGTTTTCAAAGATTTTGGCCTGTGGGGTCCAGCCCTTAGCATCTGGATCCGAACTTGGGTCTGTACTTTAACAGTTCATGGGTGTACCAACTGAGATAGGCCCGTTGGTCACTGTTGTTTTTCTCAGTGATCACTTTCTTCTTTCCCCACTACTTATCTCCCCGCGCCCTCGTCCCGCCCTCCCCCCTGCCTCGACATGAAGCAGGGGCAAGGTCCCTCTTCTAGGGGCACATTACGAGACATCAGACGTGGATAACGAATATCAACAGCCAATATATGTCTTAATCCGGCCCTGTACGAGGGACCTCGCCCCAGATCTCCTCCTGACGGATCAGGAACCCTATCTATGGCAATTTTTCCTGTCCTTTTGGGGGGAAAGAAAAAGGCATAATTTGCAAAATACCCCCATAAGTTGAGATATATGCCGAAATGCCCCTGAAAGAAGATGTGGGTAGAGCGGAATGCCCTTTTGGGCCGAAATCTTTGTGTTGTGCCCCTGTCAGGCGGTTGTGCAACTTTGCAATCTGGACCTCCCCGTTTGGGCCTTGGCCTTTTTGCAATAGCGCCTAGGAAAAGTTGGTAAGCACTGGGGCATTTCGCGAAGTTGGACAATACGGGGTAGGGGTATATTGCAAAGATGGGGGTCCAACCGGCGCTAGGGGTATTTCACAAAATATTTTTTGCGTCAGAGAGGCATTCCGCTCTACCCGCATCTGTTAGGGGCATTTTGGCATATATCTCAACTTATGGGGGTATTTTGCAAATTATCCCAAAGAAAAATGATTACATTAACTAACCTTTTTTTTTCTTTTTCAACATGCAGAAACTTGGGCGTACTCACACCACCTGTAGCACGTTTTTTCACTCAGCTCTGGAGGCGATCGAGGTCAGGTGCATCCAGGTCTGACCGTAATTGCGGTCAGATAATTTTAAAAAGTGTCAGTCCAAGTATACGTTTGCTTTACTAAGGGGGGAAAAAAACAACGAGAAAAAGAAAAGGAAAAACAAAGGGTTAATCCCAAATCCTTCACGGCCATCCCAGAAAAACCGCTATTTGCCAGCCTTCCAAAGGAAACCCGAAATTCGCGCGGGGGGGGTGGGTGGGGGTGAGGGGTTATAGTTTCTGGGCGCCCCCCTCTGGCAATCTTTTCTTTTATTCAAAACTACACTATATTCGTCTCTCAAATTCTTAGCCTCTGGCAATCTTCCTCCTCCGCCTCGTCTTACTAAGAGAACACCCCCCCCCCCCCGCCCCCCTCCCCCCGCACAAAAAAATTCATCTCCTAATCATTTCTCGGATAGTTCCTTGGCGCAGCGCTCCGTCGTCGTCCTCCTTCTAAACCACCTCCTCTCACCCTGCTTCCCCTTTTCTTTCTTTTTTTTATTTTTTATTGGAAAGACACAATCGTTGAAGCATATGTGCGGCAGCATCGCAAACACGATGATAGCATTGTTCAATTCTGACAAAGTTAAGCAGGATAATGGGTATGGCTCCACTCCTCACCAAATGTGCAAAATGAGAATGAATCTGCCGCGAGAACATGGGAAGATACAACGCCATATTTTGTGTCTTTTTGCTTCCAGTTCTATTCCGGGTTGTTTGTGAGGTTTCCCGGCTTCGTTTCCCTTGGTATTTAATGAATTCGAAAGTTTTATCAAAATACAATTTAATACATACATGCAAATATATCGTCAAACAGAACTGTATATGTTAATATATATATAGAGAGAGAGAGAGAGTCAAATGAGAGTGGGAGGAGGGGTTGGGTGGGTTCAAGGACAGAAGTCGTCAACTTCCCTGCGAGTTTGGAACTGGCGCAGCCTTGTGAGAATGCACCTGCGCGTTGAGAGAATGCACGTGGGCGAATGCAAGCTCAGGTGCAGAGCATGCACCTTTTTTCCTCTGCACAATCAGGACCACTCCGACTATCCGAGGCTAGTTTGGCCCTGCATGGATCTAAGCGGGATATTTCTGTCCTTCCTTTTATTATTCTGGCATGCGTATATTCTATAAACAACGCTTAGCGCTCGTAAGCATGGGCTTTGATGATCTTTGAAAAAAACTTTTGCGCTCGTAAGCATCGTGTTTGATGATCTTTGAAGAAAACTAGCATCGTGTTTGATGATCTTTGAAGAAAACTATGTAAAAAAAGAAACGGATGCTTGATGGTCTAAGAACCGCGCTGAAGAGGTCCGCCTAAATGGTGGCTCCGGCAACCACTCTGCTACCGTAGTGGAGGCACGCCCTACTTAAGGGGTCACTGCCTGATTACGTCGCAATTACTTGCCGGGCACCTACCTGCTTGAGCGGCAGTGAAAGGGATCTCTGGCAGCAGTTCGACACCTACCTACCTACCTACCTAAGCACACATCAGTAATGTCCAGAAGAGGCTGCTCTATAGGCACCAGCCGGAAAGCCTGCAACCCGATTGGGCAGAGTACTATTCTGTCTGCGGGGTAATGATCTGCTCGCTTGAGCGATGTACTATCTGTCTCCGCAGTAACCCGCTTGAGCGATGTACTATCTGTCTGCGCAGTAATTATCCGCTTTTTTTTTTACTCGTTAAAAGAAAAAAAATATATGCTTGAGTACATCTCTAATCTCCGTGCGGCGTACTCATCTCCCTGCGGAGTGCTCACAGTATTATCTGCTATTGGCTTGAGTACGTACTAATCTCCCTGCGGGGTACTTACTATCCACTTGAGTACCGTACTAATCGGCCTGGGGGGTACTAATCTGCCTGCGGGAGTGCGGGGCACTTAGCTGGCTTCAGTACCGTACTAATCTGCCTGCGGGCGTGCGGAGTACTTAGCTGCTTGAACGGCGGCGTACTATTTCCCTGCGGCATACTCACAATACTGTCTGTTTACCTGCTATCTGCTTGAGAACCGTACTAATCTCCGTGCGAGCTATCTGCCTGAGTATACCGTACTAATCGGCCTGCAGGAGGTACTTACTATGTGCTTAGTACCGTACTAATCTGACTGCAGGAGGTACTTATTATCTGCTTGAGTACCGTACTAATCGGCCTGCGGACTACTTACTATGTGCTTGAGTATCGTACTAATCTGCCTGCGGGATACTTGTTATCTGCTTGAGCACCGTACTACCTTCTTCCCCGCATCCCAATTCACCCACATCATGAACGTATACTACCTTTCCGCTCCGATACAGTCAGAATGAGAGTGTGCTCAGCTTAGGATGGTAATCTCCCTCCCTGCGGAGAACTTATCTTCTCCCAGCGGTAAGTCTCCGCTACAGCGGCAATGGCTCCACAACGCTTAGCTCCTCCACAGCGCGACAACACTACCTACCTGTAGCTTGAGCGGGAGCTCTCCTCCACACATCGACGACGCAATCTACCTGTAGCTTAAGCTGTAGAGCTGATGACCGACCCAGGGCATATTCACACCAGGACTCAGGCTTTTCGTACGCGAACCAGATGCACCTGACCGCAATTGCGTCCAAGGAGATGTGGAAAAATTATCGTGTGAGTATGCCATCATTCATTCATCTTCGCTCTCTCGTTGTTCGATGAATCCTTTGAAAACGATGAAAGAGTCGGGGAGAGCTGCCTCTGCCTCCCGAGAAGAGGCAGCTCGCACACAAAAAAAGACGGTCGCAATTACCAATCAACGCTCACCTTGTCATGTCTAGAGCCTCCTCTAGGATGTTGAGCACGCGATGCACGTCGGCGTTATTCATGGTGACAGCCTAGAGTCAACTCTTTCCGTCGATTGCTCAAGTTTAACTTTCAAGTACTTAACCAATTTTAACTCAATGATGCATAATCAAGCACTGAACTCGCTGGCTATGTCTACCCTTCTTCTCCGATACCTGACCTTTCCTCCACCTGCAGTACGTACGCAGCCAAGAGTCGCGCTTCTGGTGGTCGACTATATGGACCGCGCCACCATACACAACAAGTGATGATCGAGCCGAGAGACAGGTTTAGCAGTTTGCCTCCTGATGAAACCGGCGCGCAACCGGTTGAAACGCGTAGAGGGATGTGCGCGCTCTGAGTTGGGGTGAACACGGAGATTGGAATCTTGCTTTCTCAATGACCTCGTCGTGTTCAAGAGCAAATTGGCCATCGCTTGTCAGAGTCTACTCACACTACTTGTAGTCCCTCAAAATGGCAGAATTGCAAAATGAACGGCCAGATCGAGTCCTCCTAAAAGAGGAGGACTCGATCTGGCCAATCATTTTGCAAATGTGCGATTTTTCCACGCTCTCGTGTGACTTCTTAACAAGTGATCGCTTTTCCTGAACGTGTTGTGAAGATCGTTGTTTCCGAAGAAACGCCGGCGGCGGGAAACCCGTTCCCGCGCATGTTTTTGCGATTTCAATGATCTGCAATCCCCGCGCAATTCCCGTGATCTGTTGCTCTTGCTGCGGAGCTTCTCGACGGTCCCGCGCGCGCTCAATAAAACAATTCCTTGCATCATAGGAATGGCTGCATCTTGAAGTTCGCATTGCGCGCGCGTGCATCATAGGAATGGCTGCATCTTGAAGTCCGCATGCCCCGAGTCCAAACTCCAAACTCCAGTTCAAACTTCTTAATGCTGAGCATGGCGCGCTTCGACACTTCCCGCCACAATCGTGCTCTCCCGCCATACACATTTCTTCCAGTCGGGGGCTAGGTCCCACTTACACGAATTAAGCGATATTGCCCGTAGATAGCAAAGATCGACGGCCAGAATCTCTTAATCCGTGCAAGTGGGACCTTGCCCCGTGTTGTTCCCGCGGACCAATTTCGCGTCGCAAGCGCGCACGGCCATCCGACCGTCCTTGCGCGCCAACTAAAGGCCTCCCTCCACTACTCACTCGTGTGCAAAAAGAGAAAGGTAAAAAAAAATTAAAAAAAAAAAAAAGAGAAAGAATCTTTCTGCCAGGACATGGAAAGATACGCAGCCATCTTTTGTCTTTTGTGCATGCGGAGAGTATGCGACGAGGACGGGAGCGAGGCCCTAATGAGAATGAACTTCCTGCTTGAACATGGCCAGATGCGCCCGCCACATTTTTGTCTTTTTCACATTTCGAGAGTGGTCTGGCGAGGCCCTTGATGCTTGCACCACCTGAATGATTGGACCATTTCTCGATTTATGCGTGTCATCCTTGCGCAGGGGCCATGCTAATCTTCTCGATTTATGCGTGTCATCCTTGCGCAGGGGCCATGCTAATCTTCTCTCTCTGTGTATCGTTCCAATTTTTAACGGATGTGCCGAAGGACCCACCGGAATGATTGGATGTGCATGATGCCACAGAATCCTCGCAAAAGCCAAAAAACTAGAAGAGATTCTTCTGCAGAGACAGTGCCCTGTGATGGCCTCTGAGGGCCAGCACCGTTGAATATTGGGAGGATGGGAGTGCTCAAGGGAACTATGGAAGGCAGCTAAACATCTTGCTTTAGGGAAATGCCCAGATATAGATGGAATGCCAAATTGAATTGGTTTTGTGTACCTGGGTGGCCTTTGCCCCTTTCCTAGTGTCAATCTACAATAGGACATTGGAAACAGGGGGGCTCCCAACCTGGGAGGCCTTTGCCCCTTTCCTAGTGTCAATCTACAATAGGACATTGGAAACAGGGGGGCTCCCAAAGAGCATGCCACAGGGCGTCATCTCCCTTTTATATTAAAAAAAACGTGAGAAGCAGGAGATAAGAAATTATAGACCAATATAGGTACTAAATGTGGTGTATAAACTCCTTGTTAAGGCTTTAGCCATACGCCTAGCTGACCTCCTCCCAAATCTGGTAGGCTGGGAACAGGGTGCGCTTGTTAAAGATAAGTCGATATTTGAGAATATCTTAACTACGGTTCAAGCCCTGGAAATTATCAGTAAGGAAAAAAGAGAAGTAGCGGTATTACTATTGACTTACCGTGAGGGCACGGGTGCGCAGCCCGTAGTTTGTATATGCTTGATTGATAAAGGAGGCATTATTGGTGAGGTTTAGAAGTAGGGTGATTGTTGCATGAAAAAAAAGGAGTATTTGTGTGTATGTGTCAAGATTAGTGTGTGTGTGTGTTTGTGTGATACTTAGGGTGTTTGTATTTATCACATCTGTTAATGTTGGAATGTGTGGGATTTAGATATTTGATTGTCTACCGCGTGGGTGCGGGGAATGCAGCCCTAAGGTAGCCAAATCAATGAGACTAAGAGCTCGCACAAAAAAGAGAGAGAGAGAGAGAGAGAGAGAGAGAGAGAGAGAGAGAGAGAGAGAGAGAGAGAGAGAGAGAGACAGAATGCCAAAATTGAAAAAAGGGTCAAAGTGCTGCCGCCATCTATTTTGTAGCTGAAATTTTTCTTTTTTTTTTTTAGCGTTTTTCCTGAAAAGATCACAACCAAATCTACGAGTAGTCCAGTTTTCAGGTTTTTTCACGCATTCTTCTGAGAGTGAAAACTCACTGAATTTGGAGTACTTTTTCAGTTCGCTCACAAATGGCCGACTGGCAAAAATAGAAAATGTGCCGAATTTGCGCGACGATTATTTATCGGTCTAAATAATTTTTTTTAAGTGTTCTAATATTTTTTCTAGAAAGAACATGACCTCATCTATGGATTCTCAAAATTTCAGATTTTTCTGCGGGTTCCTCCGAGCACAGAAAACCGTCAAAGGTGCCTCTTGCAAAGCGCCTGTTTCGTTGCGCCTGACCTCCCTGTTTTGAGAAGATGGGCCTCAACGCATGGGCTTGAGGGCCCTTTTGCAGTTCACATGCCCTCACTTTGTTTTGGGGTCCGCTTCCACCCGTGGACCCGTCCAACACCCCCCACTTCTTTTTGGGGTCCACTTTCACCCGAGGACCGGTCCTTCCTTTTTCCAAAAGTTCAGGTTCTACCAGAGCTAGTTGTAGGTAGTCCGCAATTTCGCAATGACCTGTTCACCAATTTTTTTTGCCCCCTAAAAACCCACTTTGCGTCCTGGTCGCTCGCCGCCAAAAATGCAACACCTTGACACAGTCGCCGAACCCCAGTAGACCGCAGCCTTAGGGCTACGAACATACCTTGATTCATAGTTGGTGTCAAGGTTGGTGGTCCTTGAATCTTGGTCCAAATGTCGTATACGTATGTGTTTGAGTGTTTGTTGTTGTAAGTTTTTTTTCTTATTAAATAAAAGTTGTTTTGTCACATGTGACTCACTCAATCGGGCGTTGAACGTGTGGGGCATTGAATACGTCCACGTTCAGACACATTTGTTTGCACTTGCAAATGCAATGCAGGTGTGTCGTTTCAACCTGCAGCCAAGGCGTTGACTACATCCACGTTCAGACACATTTGTTTGCACTTGCAAATGCAATGTAGGTGTATCGTTTCAACCTACGGCCAAGGCCGCGCCCTTTCCGATTCAGACTTTTCCACTTTTTTACCCTGCCGTTATTTTACCACCGTTTCGACCAAAACCCAACGCGCAGTCCCACGGGCAGCTACCGGTCCCGCATTTTTCAAAGAAACTGCCACCCCCCCCCAAAAGATCCACCCTGTCGCTGCTTTGTCACCGTTTCAACCAAAACTCAGCGTGCGGTCCTACGGGCAGCTACCGGTCCCGCATTTTTCAAATAAACTGTCACCATCCCCCAAAGTGTTGTGCCTGCAACTGCCTGCATTTTTCGAACCTTCTAACGACCAAATGAGCCCGAATCAACGACCGGTATAACGAAGGACGACGAAAATGTCTCGGGGGGGAAATGTCTCAAGGGGGGGAAACACACCCCTGACGGGTTGCGAATTGGACATGGAGAAGTCATACAGCAAAGTTGGATGGACATTTGTCTTTACTACCCTTAGGAAACTGGAATTTGGCCAGGGTTTCTGCAGGTGGGTGAAGGCAATGTACGAAGGGGTCTCCTCCATGGTCGTAGAAAATGGGAAACTCTCAGGGGAATTTAAGTTGCCCCGGTCTCTCCGCCAAAGGTGCTCATTGGCCCTCTTCTGTTTGTAATTCAATTAGATACATTGTTAGTCAACTTAAGGACAAACCCAAGGATTAGAGGTTCATTTCCCCCTTTCCTTCAATGGAAGGGAGGGGCGTTAGCAGATGACTTGACAAATGTTGTTGTTGAAAACACCCCTATGGTATTGTATGAACTACGTGTGGTTTTGGATGAATATTATTTATTATCGGAAGCTTCAATAAATTGGGATAAGTCAACTTATTTTCTACCCTCTCCCTATGAACTATGTGTGGATTGGGGATTAAGGCAAGTCCCCTCAGGCAGGTTAGAATGCTTTGGGGGTCAAGTTTCACTAACTAACAGTGGTGCAACTCAAGATGCTTTGTTGGGGGATAAGGTTTCGACAAGGGATGAATATCTCTGAGACCTGCAAAAGATGCGACCAAGTCTGTGAATCCCCTACTCACCTCTGGTTCCGATGTCCGTGGGTTACCCATATATGAAAATGGTGGAAGACACATTGGAAATGCTTCATAAACAACACAATTGAGTGGACAGAGAAATGGATTCTCTATAGCTCACCCCCCCTGAAGACAGGATTCTCAGCAGGTTGGGGCTATGTAGTTCTCGTCTGCAAGGGCGTGATTACGGAAGTCATATGTTCAGCAAGAAATGCCAAGGTTTTCTGCACTACGGACACGGTGCTACATAAGCAGACGCACCAAATTCGAAAGAATATTCGGCTTGCAATTCGAGCAGACAGGGAAAGAAGTCGCTTGTCTACATGCAATGGTCGTACTTGGTTTCTCAAAACATGAGCGATTGGGAACAGATTGGCCGAAGTTACATTGGATGATAAATTAAAGTTTGGCCCATGGCTACTAGGTGGTGAGATTAGGAGTGTGTAGGGCACCGGTTACACTTAGAGTCTTTGTGATCCCCCTAGTGTTTTAGGCATCCGATCCTACGAGCCCGGTAGGACTCACGCTCCCAAGTACTGGTTCTGCTTAGCTTTGAAACAAACCATTTTGGGTGTATTCAATAAAAAACTTTTTTTACTGCGCTTTAAGGATTATTTGGAAAGTGGTTTTTAGTTTGAGAGAATGGACGTTGAACCCGGTTTTC